TAATATAATAGCTGCATAAACCATAAGATATGGCGACATGTAAAACCAGCAGCGCTTCGCTTTCATAGACGGGGGGACTTAGTCCAACTTTTAGCGTCACTTGGAAGGAAAGCTTAAAGAAAGGTAAGATCCGTGGACATGATGCTAGCAAAGCTAGCTGTACTGAGACACACGTTGCATCTGCGACGAAAAAAAGTTGTCACTCATGCGCTGAATTATTGTGTGGAGGTGTTGACTGAGGTGTCGCATTTATGGGACAACGCTGTGACCAAAGTGCAATATAGTGATATGACATTCAGGAACGATCCGATTCTTCTGGCCGGATCTTTACTAAGTCCTATAGGACTTCCATGTCCTCGCCTGCCAGTTGGATTTTTTTCAAAATAAAAGCCACTCGTGGCAAAAAAAAAAAAAAAAAAGTTCATGGTATGTTAGGACAGGAGAAAAGGAGACAAGATGTTTCCATCCCTGAAATTATGATGCATAGAATCTAATATCTAAGTCTAAACTATGTTACAGAGTAAACACAGTGAAAACATGCTTTATCTGTGACATTGTTCATTAAAATGGCACATTTCTAATGTATTAAAATTAAATACGATCAGTTCACTTAATGATATTAGCGATTAGGTTATGTATTCAGCAAGTACTTTTACTTTTAATACTTAAGTATTTTTAAAAGCCAGTACTTTTTTACTTTTACTTAAGTAAAATGTTACTTTTACTTGAGTATATTTTTGTCTGTTTATTTGTACTTTTACTTAAGTACATTTCTTGAGTACTTTCTCCACCACTGTAAACATTTCAGTTTGAATGTGCTATATTTAGATCGGTGTATAACCAACTCAACGAGCTGGGAAGGCTAGTGCTAGCATGCTAGCTCCCGAACACAACACTCATTAGTGATGGGCTATCTGAATCCAGGCTTCGATCCTTGTACCGAGTAAAAAGGGGGCGTGGCCGATGAAGCCCTGCTTCGAGGCTTGTGTTGGCTTGCTGAAAACCACGTGACTGGCAACAAACGAAGCCTCGCATTGCATGGGTCACGTGACTGCTTCATTTTGCGTGTAGGTTTTCAAAATAAAAGCGCGATGAGCCTTGCTGTGTCATGGGTTGTTGTCCATTTGGTCACGCATCAGAGGATGATATTTGTCTTCAGTGGCCAAATAAAATGAACATTGACCAACATATT